CCCCACCCCACCCCCCAAAAAAATAAGAATAGAAAACAACCAGAAAAATAATTTTTCTTCCAAAGATGCCCCATCCACCGTGGAAATGATCCAGATGGCGTGTCTCAATGATGTCACCAAGTACACCCTGGGAAACTGAATGGCGTGAAGGAGACTAGGTCACGGCAGCTGAACCAGAAGCTGGCCCTAGAGGGCTTATTACAGCTCACAGTACTCTCCGAGTACTGAGTGAGTGAAGCAAGCAAAGATCAAAGGGAAATGACCAGAAGGAGTGTAACACCCAGCTTTGCTTTCAAAATAAGGAGAGAAACAAGACCATCGTATATTTAACTCACTCCATGCCAATTCTTAATATATCGTCAATACAGATTACCATGTCAATACAATACATGATGCATCGCCAATACAGATTAACACCACGCCGAAGGTAAAATGGTAAATGAATGGGCCCAAAACCCAGCTTAGCCTTTAAAAAAAGGAGCGAGACAAGATTTTCGTAATATCTAACTCATTCCATGTCAATACTAGATGTATCATCAATGCAGATTACCATGCCAATAAAATAAAGATGTATCACCAATACAGATTATCACGCCAATCCACGATGTATCGCCAATACAGATGACTGTGTCAATATAATACATGATGTTTCGTCAATTTAAATTGCCATGCCAATACTGTACATGATGTATCGTCAATACTGATTAACACCATGCCAACGGTCAAATAGTAAATGATGGAACCTAAAACCCAGCTCAGCCTTTTAAAAAAAGGAGCGAGACAAGATTTTCATAATATCTAACTCATTCCATGTCAATACTAGATGTATCGTCAATGCATGTTACCTTATGCAGTTGCGAGTGCCGTAAAACCTCTACTAAAACTAAATGCAGATTACCATGCCAATAAAATACAAAGTATATCTTTAATACAGTTTGCTATTCCAATACAATTCATGATTTATCGTAAACGCAGAATACCATGCAGATTACTATGTCAATACAATACACGATGTATCGTCAATACGGACTACTATGCTAATCAACGATGTATCGTCAATATAGATTACAGCGACTGTGCCAATACAATATGTGATGTATTCTCTATACAGATTACCAAACCAATCCACGATGTATCGTCAATGCAGATTACTATGCCAATGCAATACATGATGTATCGTCAGTACAGATAACTATGCCTATGTATTATATATAGTCAATATCAGATTCATTTAATTTTTCATAGTTTTTGCTCATTTCTCCTTCTTTTTTGGTATATAATAATAATATGGCCACTTTTGATCAAAATGTATGCCCCCAATGTGAGCTATCCAACAGGCATGTAGGCGAATCAAAGGTTTGCCTGACAGAGACGTGGAATTGACCCTAGCATGGAGTGCTCTTCATATTAATACGAAGTGAACTTAATATCTTTCAGTCAATATTGTTCCCTTGTAAACAAAAACCTGATCAAGCTTAGTCATGTAATACTGGTCGGATGTCGTCTGCACCCTATTGAGAAACTTCCCTGAAATCGTATCGCCATTGCGCAAGAATGCACAGACATAGATCAGCCTCTTTGATGATATACATTGTGTCAATGGGGCTGTAAAAACACTCATATTTAAATATAAATTAGAGACGCAGTCTAACCAAGGGCCACAATCTCCATGTGATACGCTTTTCTTGCTACACACTTTTACCTCCCCTCGTTAATATCCTTCTATAATATCGTCTGCAGTGTGTTTCCTGTCTCAACAGAAAGGCATTGCTCTCTGAAGCAAGTTGTGACGTCATTGAAAGCCCGAGCTCACTCACGACTCAAAGCTGCAGCCTCCCACCCTCATCCCACCCCTGAAAAGATTAATAAATTATTTTTGAAAACAAATCTTTTTAAAAAATAAAAAATTATAACAATTTTCAAAAATACTGCGGGGACTACCGTTTGCATATTGTATCCGTGCAGTTTTTGAAGAACAGCGGATACTAAACCTGTTTTTAAAAAGGGGAATTAGAAAGCAATGACTCAATTCTAGAGTATTTTATAATGATAGATCTACATAGCGATCGAAACCTAGTTATATAAATTCTTAAGCTCAAAAATCATGAAAATGCGGCTCCACCATACTCTAAAGAATATTGAAAGAAACCTTCGTTTAATTTTTTTTTACGTAAGAAGAGTGCATGGTCTCTTCTAAAACGAGTTGGAAAAATAGGACCACCAGAATTATATAATTACCGTATCATTTTCTGAAGACTGCGATTATTTGTACCTCTCAGAAAGAATGTTTTTCTTTGTGCATCTATTTTTTAATGTCTCTTTGCTTGATTTTTGTTTTATTTTACTCAGACTAAATACTTACTTTCTCCTGGACATTTCTGTATTTAGTTTTGTTTATGATCATATGCCTTATATCCTCTGTACTTCATAACGAGCTATAAAAGGTTTTGTGTAATCAACAATGAATGCGATGAATCGTTGTGAAATCATGCGCTCCTCA